TGCTATCATTATGTCATGTCGTAGTTAATGAAAAATGATTATGTAAGGGTAGTGCTGCCTACGCGCTCATTTTTATTTCTCTTACGTTTCACCCATCGGATCGAATGAATTAAAGAAAATCAATTGCTAAAAACTAACAAAGGTGTGGGAGGTAAAAGTGGGTATATAACTAGCACTTTCCTTTATGTAAATCAAATGTCAAAATATGTTTACTGTAGCTATTTTTCCTAAGATTTATCATGTGACAAGTCAGGAAAAATATTTTGTAAAAGTGGCTAAAATAATTAGAAATTAATATTAATTGTTGAACTGATTAAAATCAAATATCGACATGTAACGAGTCCAAGTTGTAAATATCATATCGAGGATATGCTAAAAGATCATCGCAGCCAATTCCCCAAATTTTCACGAGGACGTCATTTTCTTGTTGGCTGTTATTGATCTTTCTAAGTTATTGTGTTTAAACAATTTTTTTTTAAGTTGTTATAATATTATAATCATCATGGAGCAGTTTGCCAGCTCAAATTTGTTCGGGTGCATTGGTGTATCCTACTTTTGGAGAGATTTTTCAGTCTAGAACATTACACGACATAGCATTATATAAGTAGAGATAAATTTTAAAAGTAAATAGTATATCAGAGTGCGCAACTAATAAGACTAACAAGAATATTATTAAACAAACGAGATTGCCGAAACGGCTATAGAATTCTAAACTTGTTTTTTAAATTAAATTACAAACTATATTTATAAAGAACTAAACCTAAGAAACCCTAACTCGAATGAGCTAGGCCCAAATCCTAAACTAACAAGTAAAACCTAAATACTAAAATAAACCTAAATACTAATATTTTCTAACACCCCCCATCAAACTTATGGCGGTAAACTACATGAGTTTACCAACAAGCAGATGCGGATGCAAGCTCCATTATGCTAATTTCTGATGCCAATTCCAATATGAAATTCCATCAGTGCAAGTGCAAGTGCAAGTTTCCAATGCCAATGCCAATGTAAGATTCCATACCAGTGCCAGTGCAACATTGTTAGTGCAAGATAAATACCAATGCTAGTGCAAACCTTCCCAATGCCAATTGCGAACTTCCGAACAAACCAACAAAAAATCTAGTTCACCATGTACTCAATGTCACTTTAGTGGTCACCAGTCCAAACACTCGAGCGATCGTCACAATGAGCAACAAAAGGCTTCCCAATCCAAGCTAAATAACCACCTCCTCAAGTCACCCATGTCGGCCTTAAAAACAACCAAGGCACCAATATTAAACAACTAAACCACCAATATTTCTTTCATGCCCCGTTTGGGCCTTTCAAAAACAAACAAGCCTCTGAAAAATAAACAGAGTGACCAAGAAGAACAAAGGGAACAGACTGAAGTGGAAGCGTAAGCCTAATCGAGACCAAAACTAAATCAAAAAACAACAAAACAACAAAACAAACTGATACCATACAACATCGTAACTAACTTGTTTTTTAAACTAAATTACAAACTATATTTACAGAAAACTAAACCTAAGAAACCCTAACTCGGATAGGCGCCAAATCCTAAATTAACAAGCAAAACCCAAATACTAAAATAAACCTAAATACTAATATTTTCTAACATAAACTTCATTTCATTTATATAATAACATGTGGTATATAATTCTGTATTCCGAGCATACTGAAGAGGGAACACTAAAAATGAGGCAAATTTTATTGAAAGGAATAGAGATAGTTGCAGAGAGATGGTAAACAAAGAAGAGAATTTTCATTTTACTTTTTTGCTTTGGCCCTTGGATGTCATTTTAAAAGAGGGTAAAATTGGTTTCAGAATTTTTATTAAAAACTGGATTGGGAGTGTTTATCAGCACTCGTTTTTAATTGTTAATGGTTAACCATGGTTATCTTATGGGTGGTGGGTTGTATGCACCAAAGTTTAAGCCGGACAGCAAAAATGCACCAGTTTGACTTTTGAGGCCTCTTAATTGAAATCCAAGTGGCTTTGGGCCGGATTTGGTAAGTTTTGTTCTTCTTGATTGGGGAGGGTCCATGGAAGAAAAAGAACTTCTAATGAGATTGGGCTGGTATTTACGTTGCAATCCTCAAATCAAAATGGGTAACTCGAAAATGGTGTTTCTCTCCCGCACATTATTTTTTACAAGTGGGCGTTTGAGATTTCCAAATGAGAGTTCTCTATTTTGATTAGAAGTGTTTTTCAGAAAGATTAGATCAGAAACAATGTTTTCAATTTCGTTCCAAAATTTAGCAATCGGATCGAAGTGGATCACAATTTTTAAAATCAGAAATTTTGGAATCAGAATAATCTAAAAAAAAAATTTGTATCAGAATAAGTTCAGAAGACTTTGAAAAAATAAAAATCGAATATTCAGAATTTTAGAATATCTAATACATTTCAATTTCCATTCCAAGTTTTTTTAAAATATTCAAATTCAAAATTTTCAGGTTTCGATTAAAAAAATTTACAATTAAAATAAAAAACAACATTGCAATTTGTACCTCTAATTCCAATCCAATTATATGTACTAAACGAACCTTAAACGTTTTTTCCCTTCCCATTTTTCGAGAGGTTTAAAATAATAAATGAGACTACTTAGTACTGCGGTCTAGTAATATTTATATTCACTTGTAAGTAAGAGGTTTTAGGTTCAATTATCACGAAAGGCGAATTTGAACCACATTACTGCTAGCTCATTGTGAGGCTGAGCTCACCCTCTCCCTTAGTGTAAATCATATCGTTTGTTCAAAAAAAATAATGATAAATAAGAGATGAGGCAAATTTCGCAAACTTATAGGAGTTTGGGGGTAGAGGGCGAAAATTTAGGTGCAATAAGAGGAAATATAGGAAAACATTAGGAATATCACATATTTGAATTAGGAAAAATTACACGTAGAGTATATTTTTAATACTTAATTTTATATTGAGATAACCCTTTTTAAATATTTCAAGGGGAGACAAAAATAATAATAAATGTGAAAGATGACATCATTTGCTTTTTTTTTTCTCTGGAGTTTAACTTACGAAAATACCCTTTATTTTTTGTATCTTTTCACACTTATCTCTCCAACATTGAAGTTGTTTGTGCCACCTAGGCGCCTTATTTCTCAGGATTCAAACTTCAAAGAGATGATGTGGTATGTGGAGGTTGGGCATCTACACCTTTTTGCCTCAAGAATGAGCTTCTCATCATTAGTTGAGGTTGACTAATATAAAAGCTAAAACAATTATATTTACACTTGGGAAGGAGACTTTAGAAAACCTAACTCAAATTTATTTGTTTCATCAGGTACATCAAATATGTCCTCAAACTTTTTTAAATGATAAAAAAAAATTAATCCAAGTGAACAAAAGACCAAATTACAAAACAAGCGTCAATCTTATATCATTATACATTTGGACATCATTCAATTAACTCACAAAGGACTAAACACATGATAGAGCCTACACAAGAGAAATTAAATTAATACACAGCGATTAATTTAATTTTAAGGAGAATGTTACTTAACTTTGAAATTAATTTGATTGATAAAAAGGTAAATTATTTGGAACTTACAAGCATCGAGTAAAAATCAATCTAAACTAACCTAACCCAACACAAACTAGGCTGCACCATTTACTAATTCTTCTAAAACTACACAAACTGATTGTATTAAAAAATATATAAAACTGATTCAATTTCGTGCTCCACGATGCTCTTGATTCTTCCGTACCCCTCACCTCCCTCACATGAGTAAGAAAGTTACATATATTTTTTTAAAGTATTAAAGTCAATTAAGTTGCATAATTTTTTTTTTTAAAAAAAAAGCAAAAAAGTATACAAAACTGATTTTACATGTATTTGAAATTGATTATGCAAAAATGGTCGAAAACAGTTTGAACTGATTATGCAAAAATGGTCAAGAACGGGTTAAATTGATTCTGCAAAAATGGTCAAAGAAGGGTTGAACTGATCTTGTAAAAATGGTCGAGGACGGATTGAACTAATTCTACAAAAATGGTCGAAGATGGATTAAACTGATTCTGCAAATAGTCGAGGACTGGTTGAATTGATTCTGCAAGAAAGACGAGATGAACTGATTCTACAAAAATGATCGAGAACATGTTGAACTGATTCTGCAAATGGTTGATGATGAGTTGAACTGATTCTGCAAAAATGATCAAAGACGGGTTAAACTAATTTTGCAAAAATGGTCGAGGACGGATTGAATTGATTTTGCAAAAATTGTCGAGGACGGGTTAAACTGATTCTGCAAAAATAGTCAAAGACAAGTTGAACTGATTCTACAAAAATTGTCGAAAACGGGTTGAACTGATTCTGCAAAAATGATCCAGGACTGATTGAACTGATTATAGTAATAAATGATACAATACATATAGTTTCAAAACTTGTTCTGCATCAATAGTCGAGGATTGGTGAGCTTATGGCACATATTAATATTGTTAGAGTTGTGAGAGCTGAGTTCTATTAAAAGCCTAAAATCTTAGGGGTATGGTTGGTAGTTTAAAACATTGTTTTCATGTTTTTGGGTTGGACTTTAATTATTTTTATACTTTTATCTCTGCTTGACATGTTTAAAACTAATAGAATTCCTTGAAATATAGTAAAAATTGTTGTCGCTATATATAAAGCTCCCTTTGAATTACATTAGTGTATCATTTGAAATATTTTTTAATGAAACACGAAAATTTTCCAAAAAAAACTACTATGTAGTTCGTTCGACTTTATTCACGACACCGTTTTATGTGATTCAAAAATATAATGTGTATATAGCACTATCTATTTTTATCTCATACATATTTATTAATTTTTTATCGTTGTTATTGTCCAAATCATTCGATTTAAAATTCAAAAATTAAAAATAATGGATAAAAAGTAAAAATAAGCCCACCACCTATATTCTCTCTCATCTGAAACCCCACCCGCTCCGCCCGCGCGAATCTTTGGTCCACCCGACAAAGGCAAAAACCGGATCAAACAGAAAGGGAAGGGAAAGGAAAATTCGATATGGCGTGAAAAGTCCGCGTAGCGCGTACACAGGAAAAACCACACGCCAACGTCGACGCGGCAAAAATCCGATTGCAAATCTCCCAACAAAAACCCAAAGCCCCTTGCCTCTCCCTCTCCTCTGTTCCATTTGCATACTCGCCTACTCGCAATTTCAACAAACGCACACCTCCGAATTCCAATTCACTTGCTTTGTTTTGTTGATCTCCGCAATCTCCAATCTCCAATGGAGAATTCTCAGGCCCACGCGTTAGGGCTCACAGATCGCCGGCCGGCCGCTCTCGGAGACTTCCGAGTCCTTCCTGACGACCTCATCTGCGACATCCTGGAATACCTCCCTCCTCGCGACGTCGCTCGCCTCGCTTGCGTTAGCAGGTTCCCGTTTGAATTTTGAATTTTGGAATTTTGATGTGCATTTGGATGTGAAATGTTTCTGTTCTGATTTCAAGTTAGCGTTTTGGTCTTTGATTTTAGTTTAATCGAATTTTATTGGATTTTTTTCTGCGATTTGGAATTTGCAGTGTGATGTACATACTATGCAATGAAGAGCCACTTTGGATGAGTTTATGCCTCAGCAAAGTAAATGGTCCGCTCCAGTATAAAGGCTCGTGGAAGAAGACGGCACTTGATTTGTATGGATCGGAGTTTGTGCTGTGCTTGTCTATTAACTGTGCATTGTTTTTTATCGGAATTTGAGTGAGTTATTGTATTTTTGGATGCAGGGAGCATGTACCATATGAATGCGACGAGGCTGGCAGAAAACCACTTTATTTTGATGGTAATGGATGTCGTGTCTTTCGAGTACAAGTCCCCTTTTATTCTCTGCTATTGAAAATCTTCTCTAGATGAACTCTTTTATAATTTCCCGCTGATGGTTTTGGTCATTTCGTATCCACTTTATGCAGGATTCAACTCATTGTTCTTGTACAGAAGATTATACAGGTGCTATACCACATTGGATGCTTTTTCTTTTGACGATGGGAATGTGGAAAGGAAGAAAGACCTCAATTTGGAAGACTTTTCTTGTGACTATGATGGAAAGAAACCGGTACAGTGATGAATAATGATGATTCACTTTTGAATCATAATTTAATAGTTATATTTTCTTCCCATTGATTATATGCAGACGCAGTGTTCTGTTAAGTTTTAGATTTGAGAAAGGAGGATGCTCTTTCACATGACCCCCTTGGATGCACCATACCCAAATGCGTACTGAGTTTTTAGAAATGAAAGGAGAAATAGTTTCTTTCTATTTAAAAAAAAAAAAAAAATTCTATTCATGTTGGCCACTGCACATTAAAACTTTGCCCCACCATTCTACCCCTACTGCTAATTCTATTCTACCATATCATACCCTCCATTACCATCCCCTCGGCATCATCACTAGCATGTGTACGACATTAACCCCTATCTATAACCGACCACATTACCACCATCATTACCATAATACCGTTTCCACACTACACTGGATATTCACTACCACAGCCTGCCATGTCTGTTAGCAAAGGAACCAATAAACCCCTTAAACCTAAATCACCAGCACCTCTATGCCTGCTTTGGCCATGCTTCTATTTTCACAGCTTAAAAATATCCACTCTCCCCCAATACCCTAAATTTTCACAGCTTATTCTTGATGGTCTTGTACTATTGAGAATTTTGAGTTGCAAATCGGTAATCAAGATTAGTATGCTGTTTTTTCTACACATTGGTTGTTTGTGTTATTCACATAGGTCACTGCCAAAATTTATCAGGTTTTGCTTACTGGATTAGCTGATGCTTGGCCTGCAAGGCATACATGGACATTTGACCAGTTATTGCAGAAATATGGAGATACAGCTTTCAAAATTTCTCAAAGGAGTGCTCGCAAAGTCTCAATGAAATTCAAGGATTATGTTTCATACTTGAAAATTCAACATGATGAGGATCCCCTATATATTTTTGACCACAAGGTGCTCAATGGTTGTGTGTGTCTGTTTTGAATAAATTTTTGGATAATTTTGTTTTCTTTTTTTGTGACCTGTAATGTAACTTTTTAAAGCAGTTTGGAGAGGTTGCACCTGCCTTGTTGAAAGATTACTGTGTGCCTTGTCTATTTCAAGAGGACTTTTTTGATGTTTTAGATGGAGACAAGCGACCACCATTTAGGTGGCTCATTATTGGGCCACAGAGGTCTGGTGCCTCCTGGCATGTTGATCCAGCCCTGACCAGTGCCTGGAATACGCTACTAGTTGGCCGTAAGAGGTAAAATTCGACTTTGTTCTCAAAAGCTCATGCATTTAAGGGCTAGTTTGGTATTGTTGTGCTTTGAAAAAAAATGTTTTTGTTGTGCTGTGAGAATAAGCAGCTGTGAAATAAAGCAGCAAAGTGTTTGGTAAACTTTTTTGTAAAAGTGCTTTTGGAAAAAAAAACAGTATTATAGTATTTGGTAAACTTTTATGTAAAATAGTTGTGACTGTGTGAAATGACCAAAAAAGGTATAATACTAGATGCGTCATTAATTTAATTTTCTTAACAAATAAGGGTGAATTACTAAATATACTTTATTTTTAAAAGAAAAATATTTATAAACTTTATCTTAAACATATAATCCAACGTTTAACAAGAAATCATAATCCAACATTTATGCTGCTTCACGTTTTTAGCTTTTTTTCACCCAAAACTGTGAAAATAAGTTGTTTTTAAGTGTTTACCAAACACCATTTTGAGCTCAACTTTTTTTTATATCCACTTTTTATAAAAGCACCTCAGTACCAAACCAATACTAAGAATATGGTATCGTTACAGCTTATGTTGTGCTAGTTGGGGGACCTGGGTTTAATAATACTGTTCCATTTTGTGTACTTACTGCATTTGTTCTACTCTTCCCTGTTCAAGTTCCTCCATTAGTCCAAAACTGTTTCTAAATTTATACCAATTACAGAGTCTCTTTGTTGCTTTTTATTTTGTCCAGGTTGAATTTGACTTAATGATATTCTTTTTTGTTGTTTTCCAACTCCTCCCAAGTTCTACTCACTCTTACAGTTAATGGATAGGATAGGTCATGATCTTATACCTAAAGCATGAGGATATTCTAACTAAACAAGACTTGAGAATATCATCAACATATTTATTTAATGCATTCCATAAACCACATTGTTTCTGTCCCCATGGTTATTACACCATATATCATTCCCCTTTTGTCAAATTGACCGAGTATTGTTTTTCTCTTCTATTCTTTTCTTTTTCTTTTTTGCCCTTTTTGAATTAAAAATAACTGAGGTCAAGTTTGCATTTTGTTGAAGGTGGGCCCTGTATCCACCAGGAAGAGTACCACTAGGTGTCACGGTACATGTAAACGAAGAAGATGGTGATGTCAATATCGAAACTCCATCTTCACTGCAGGTATTTTATTCAGATATTCTAATCCTCTGTGATTTTTCATATTTTCTTTTGTGGTTTTAAAGTTTGCTGTTATTGGTTCTTTTTTTTTTTTTTTTTTTTTTTTTTGTGTGTTTCAGTGGTGGCTAGATTTTTATCCACTTCTTGCTGATAAAGACAAACCGATAGAGTGTACCCAACTTCCAGGGGAAACGATTTTCGTTCCAAGTGGATGGTGGCACTGTGTCTTAAATCTGGAACCAAGTATTGCCGTTACCCAGAACTTTGTAAATCCCAAAAATTTTGAATTTGTGTGTTTAGACATGGCACCTGGTTATCATCATAAGGGAGTTTGCCGTGCTGGATTACTTGCACATGCAGAAGGAAATTCAGATGATGCCACAAATAATAAAGATGATTCTGGTATCTCTGATCTGATTAGGAAAGTGAAAAGAGTCAGGACTCTCGAACCTGGAGAAAAAAAGAATGCTGATGTTGCTTCTAATGACCATGATTTACAACAAAGAATTTCCCAGGGGTTTTCTTATGACATAAATTTCTTAGCCATGTATCTAGATAAAGAGAGAGATCACTACAACTCTCCTTGGAGCTCTGGCAACTGCATAGGACAACGAGAAATGAGAGAATGGTTATTTAAGCTTTGGTTTGCAAAAACAGGAATGAGAGACTTAATCTGGAAGGTACTTCTACTTGTTAGCCTATTCTTCATGCTTTCCTTATTGACTTTTATACCAATTAATGAAGTGGTTGCTGGTATAATATATTTAAGAGTCCTAGAAGAAGATAACAAGATTTCTAAACGGGATTTAATTTATAAAGTGGTAGATCTTTTGCCAGTGACATCCATTCCCCTCCACAGTCCATAACTATCATGTTTGCTTGCACTTTTACATATATAGTAAACCACTTATTTCTTGCTGTGAATGTTAGGGAGCTTGTCTTGCATTAAATGCTGGGAGATGGTCTGAATGCCTGTCAGAAATTTGTGCATTCCATAATTTGCCTTATCCAGCAGAAGATGAGAAGCTTCCTGTTGGCATGGGTAGCAATCCTGTAAGTCAAGGTTTATTAAATTGGAAAGTTTCTGCATATCTGCTAATGTCTTCATTTGTGGAGTAAACATATTGCTCCTATACTACTGTTGTTTGTAGCCTGAAATCTTTGTACAATGTGCGAATGAGGAATCCATAATCGAATTACGTAGAGCTAGAATAACATATAATCTGACAAAAAGACCTAAACCCAAAAGAATGAACACTCATGAAGAATAATGATAAGGTCGTGAATACCCTTGAATTTGTTGGTCAACTAAGCTGTGGGTGAGCGGGGGTTCAGGATTGGATCACTAGCAAAGCTCAAATACCAAGCTCTGACCAAAGGAATTCTATTTTTCATAATCTCAAGTTTGAATTCTGACTTAACCCTTTGAAGCTGTCAGTTATTTTGTTGCCTCTTATATGAGAATATAACCAATGGCTAATCATGTCCTAACAGAAGAAATCAGTTAACAGTAGGCCTCAGAGCATATCAAAGTAGCTATGGAAACCACAGTACTGTATCTGTTACCTATAAGCATATTGTTAATGCGAATAATTTCACCTGGAACTTAAGCTGAGGGGATCATAGATTATGATAGATGACAAATCGTATTAGGGGAGGACCAAACTTTCTATTATTAATTTTCTCGATTCATTAGAGTCAAAGTTTTGGAGTTCATATAATTCTAGGGTATTAAAAAGGTCAGTCGTACCCAGTGCACAAGGCTCCCACTTTACGCAGGGTCTGAGAGAGGTGAATGTCGGCTAGCCTTTCCCCCATTTATGGAGAGGCTGCTCCCAAGTCTCGAACCCGAGACCTACCGCTCATGGGCGAAGGCACTTGCCATCGCACCAAGTGCGACCTCTATAATTCTAGGGTATTACATGGAAAAAAAAAATATGTGATGAGTATTAGGTAAATAGATGATTATGCCCAGCCTGGAGATTCTCTCCTTATACCTCTTAATCATTTCCTACAGGTTTATCTCTTGAGCGACTGCGTAGTCAAAATTTTTGTTGAAGAAGGGCTGGAAAGATCACTTTATGGTCTAGGCACAGAGGTACTATCTTTTAATTATTTTCTTGCAGCATTTTTTACATACATCTAACATTTTAGTACGCCATTGCAGCTAGAGTTTTACAATCTCCTATGCAAAGTCAACTCCCCTCTGAAGAATCACATGCCTGATGTTTTGGAAAGTGGGATCATTTATCTTGAGAATGGAATTTACAGAATTGTACCATGGGATGCCAAAACAGTTCCTGATGTGATTGCCAGATGCAATCTTATTCCTGAGAAGTTAAATGCAGATGTTTGTCCTTTTGGCGTATGGAGCAAGAAACAGTTTAATTACAGAAGGGCCGGGATGCCAACAAATGAAACCATCGGCTCACCTGAATGCAGAAGAATATGGCCATATCTTATAACAAAACGATGCAAAGGAAAAATATATGCAGAGCTGTAAGTGAAGTTAGTGTATAAGTTCCTTCTTGTAGTTCAATTGCTGCTCAAGAATTTGCATTTCTGATATGTTAGAGGATACATTAGCATAGCTCTTTAATTGGTCTTGTTTTGTTTTCGCAGAAGAGATACGATTTCATTGGAAGACGCACTGAACTTAGCATCCTTTCTGGGAGAGCAGCTCCGCAACCTCCATCTCTTGCCTCAGCCACCTCTAAGCATCTCAACTTTCTCAGATATTAAACCAGAAATAGATATGCCTTTAACTAATGGTTGTATGGAGGCTGTTCAGGATAAATCAGAAGTTCCAGCTGAATGGAATATTTTCATCAGAACTCTAATCAGGAAGAAGAAGGATGTCTCAAGTCGCTTGAGTAAATGGTATTTTTATGCCTATCACAAGATGGGTTTTACTTTTCAGAACTTGTTTAATTTACTGTACTGATAATATTCTACTCCACCTTTTTTATGGTGCCTGTTGATGATATACTACTCCATACATGAATGCTGTGTTTATGACAGAAAAATTGTTTCGGACAGTAGCATCTATATATTACCAAAGATCTCTTGCAACATAGTACATCATAGTAAACTGAAAAATGAATATTAACTTCTGACCTTCAGTGGAAGGTATCTGTGGTGAACTCAAAATGCGATTGGAGAACTAGTAGAAATAAAAAGACACCATTCTTAACAGGTGTGATTGTTGTAGATGCTAGGTCTTGTCAATTAGTTCTGATAGCATACTATAACTTAGATTTTCAATTCCTAGCTTTAGTAAATCAGTTGCAGGTGTTGACTGTCATATTGTCATTGTAATGGTGACATGGTTGGTTACTTTGATGGATGGTCCAGAAAAGGTTGACTGGCTGGATTATCCCAAAAGTTAGGGACATTATTAGATATTCAAGGTGAAGGTATTGAGTTGGTGATTATCAATAGCCTGAGTAAGCGCTTGGTGTTTCAATCAAATCTTTCACTTTCAGACTTAGTTGAAAGTACTGTGCTAAAGCACATTGTTTTCCTATGCATATGGTTCATCCAGATTTATATATCTTACACATGCCACACATGTTCTTTGTTTCCTGTTTTTGCATGTTTCATTGTATGTATTTTTGGGCATTAGCAGGTATAGGTTTGATGTCTTGTGATGTTCCAGAACTGGGTTTTACTGACCGATTTTATTGAATCTATTGTTCTTCAGTACATGTAGTGGTGGTCAAATGTATTTATTAGTGTAATCTGAGCTCCTATGTTTTAAAACATAGTACGAGATTATCTAACTGGGACAGCTCTTAAGTATCTGGGTTTCAATATGCAGGGGAGATCCAATTCCTACCACACTGATCGAGAAAGTCGATGAATACTTACCAGATGATTTGGCCAAGTTGCTTCACATATTCGAGGTTTTTACCCCATCCCAATCTGTCATAAACATGGCAAGATTGGTTTCTCAATTATAATAATTTAATGTAGATCACTCTCTTTCAAAACCATACATATGCTTGGTCTTATTTGACCATATACGGTTTCAGGATGAAAATGGCTTAAACAAGGTGGGTAAACTTTGTTCCTGGATACACTCAGATATCATGGATGATAATATTCACATGGAACCATGTGGTGCTAATTCTTGCCTGATTGAGAACACCAAAGACAATGGCCTGGTAACCAATGGTTCAGTGAATGGAAATGGCATCAGTGCAGGGACTAAATCATGGCGTCCTAGCCACATTCTTGATTTCAGTGATCTTTCTATAGGTTGGTATTTATTTGTATTAGTGTTCAATGTGTTGTTCTGTACTTGCTTCTTTGCATGACTTAAATTATATGTTATTTCTTTTTATCTTTTCCCTGGTTAATCTTTTTTCCACTGCATTCTTTACTATGCAGAGATGCTGGCAATTTTTACCATGTGCATAGTTATCCTTGTTAATGATCGTCATAACGTATATTTATAAAGTATTATATAGTTAATACATATCTTTAATTGGATTAAGTCTTCATATCGAATCACATTCCAACATCGCTCGGTTGGCTTTGTAATATGATGTTTTGGCTTGTACGTACTGTTTTCAAACTGATTCTTTTATTGCTTTCGCAGGTGACCCCATTTATGATATAATACCCATATACTTGGATGTATTTAGAGGTGATACACGTCTCCTTAAGCAACTTTTAGAAAGTTATAAACTTCCTTTAGTGAGTGCAGAATCACAGAATAAGTCTGTTAAGGGTGGAGACAAGTTTGGACAGCTTTCCTACCACGCAATGTAAGTAACGATCCTTGTATATGCTGCTTTATCAATTTAGTTGGAAACTTACCATTTAATGCTCTTAATGTACTATAGAAGAATTTAGGCGTTTTCTATTGTATTCATTTATCCGTGTGTTATCCAAACTATTAGCAAACTTAAGCAAAAGGTGTGTAAGGAGGTTGCAGTGACTTAGATGTAAAGCCAGTTGACAATGCCATGAGTTTTGAAATTCTGCTAGGTAATACATCTAATAAAGAGCCAAACCGATACTCAATCGTGTCACTCTGGTCTTGGTGCTTGAGATGGGTCTTGGCTCTTGACATGGGAAGGATTCTAGAATCTAGAACAAGTATATCCTTTGTTTCAATAGGAAAATTACAAAATTCTAATATCTCTTCATGTCTGTATCAGTATCGTCAGTTTGTCATGTTTGAAGCTTGCATCAATGTGTTTGGTGCAAACTGTTCCCCGAAAAATGAGAGTTGGATTTGTTTTGGATGATTTTGTGTGTAGGTGCTACTGTATGCTGCATGACGAGAATGTATTGGGAGCCATTTTTAGTATCTGGGACGAACTCAAGACGGCGAAAACATGGGAAGAAGTTGAGCAAGTAGTGTGGGGAGAGTTGAATAATTACAAGGGGTTTCCCTTGGATCCTAAAATATAACACTTTTGGGAGTAGAATAGACATGATTTATCCGTACCAAGATCATTGATTGCAGCACTGTCTGCTGCTAACTTGTTTTATCGCTTGATAAGGTCCAAAGAATGTGTGCAATCATGATATCAATGAAGCAGAAGCCAATTATATGCTCTACTAAAATAGGAGTTTCATGGTTACTTTGCTGTATCTCACGTGATTTATTTCCCTTCTTCCTTTGTCGAACATAATAATTCTTACATTCATGTCAATCGGTGTAGAAATAATCAAAACATAGGATTAGATTGGAATGGATAAGCTACTATTTTCAAGGTATTTTGAAAGAAGAAATGAATTTCTTTTTTATCAACTTGGAGGTAAGAAATGGACTACTCAAGAAAAGTTATCTTTTGGTACCAATTTGCCATCGTCAAGAGTGTGACGACCCCTTAATAAATCATAAATGATACCGTCATGTATTTGTATTGGGTTTTCATTTTGTTGGAGGGCATTGTTCTTGCTTGCTTGGTATGATGAGATGCGCTATTAAACATGCCAGGCGGTACTCGGGTTGATAAGTACTTAAACAAGCAAAAGACCAGAGAAGAGAAGATTTAATTCCTACAACTAGGATTTGGGCAGTTTGTGCATCGACGTAAGGAACAATTTGGCGTATAGAGTAACAAAACGATGCAAACCAAGGGAATATATGTGCAGTGTTGTAAGTTTGACCAATGTCGAGGCGACTCTGTTGGTAATGAGTTTGACACCTTATTGTGATTGTGCCCAAACCTAGTTGGATGATTTTTATTTCAACTGATTTATGTTAAGAGTACGTTTACTTGTAAGAAATGGAGTGAGAAGAAATGGGTATCATTCCAATTCACGTGTTTACTAAAAACCTAAGAAATAAAAAAAATAAAAAAATAAAAAAATAAAATAATGGAGTGGGTGGGTGGGTTGGGCAAGGTATTGGCTTTTTTCCCATATCCTCGTGCCATGTAAGTAAACATGCCGTTGCTTGTTAATGCTGAAACTCTCATTCATGTTAACGCTAAACAAGAGGAGGTGCTCACGCCTTTACTTGGAGTTGGGGGGGAACTCATGCGCTCCAGAAGAGAAATTGCCACGAAAAAGCTCGGTTTGAGGGTTTTTCTCCTCTGGGGCGTGTTGCCACCAGGGGTTCGGGAGATTGATCGGAATCGGACCCTAGTTACTTCTGAAACCGAATTAGATGCACGGCAGAAGCTGCTACAGATCAGCGAGGACGAAGGTAAAGCCAACAGCATCAAATGAAGTTGTTGCCGTAGACATGGTGTACAAGGGACGTTGGTTGGCGAAACAGCTGCAGATGCTGGAAAAGATATCGGAGTTGGGATGGAGGAGTGATAACACAAGCGTGGATAGAGATGCTCTGTTGTACAGAACACAGCGGATGGAACAGCCGCGCCCACCGGCTCGGGCTGGAGGGAGAGCTTCTTACTTGTATCCAAATTCTAAAACCGAAACTGTGCTAACGGCTAGGGAAACCCAGACATAATTACATAGAAAACCAAAGGGAAAGTAGCAAATTATTAATGCTCTTGAATAAAAAGCTCCAAAATATTAATAAAACGGGAAAGTTTCATAGTGAAAATTCCAATAACCTCAACAGCAATAAAGCAAACACTTTAAGCAGTCATCAAGTAGCACAAAAACTGGAAAAAAAAATACTAAGACAACGCAGTAACATCCATTTCTTACTTTTAACCAAAATTAGATCACTCGAGCACGGATCTATGCTGCAACGGATGGCTTTGAAGCTGCGGACAGCCTGGACCTCTTCTTGGCTAAGCTTTCACTTCGCCGATCCCTCTGCTCCTTCAACCTTGATGCAAGGAGCTTCTGGTACTCAGCAGCCTCAGACTTGGCCTTTGCAACCCTCTTCTTCTTGTCAGCAATTCTAGCTCTCTTCCTTTGCAGAGTCAACGGGGTGACCAATCTCTGGATCTTGGGAGCCTTGCTGACTTCCTTGCCTGCAAAACCAAATAAGGTCACCAAGCTTAGAAATTGAAAGAACCATCAAACCGAACATACAACATTTTAAAATATACGGAATGCATATGAATCCAACACTCCAAAGGCACAAAATTTAAGCACTAAAAAAAGTAAAACGAGAAACGATTTAATTACATCATGCCATAAGTATATTTTTTATAATATGAAACTTGCCCAGCAATCCTTTTCTAACAAACAAAGGCAAGTCCACCAATTTATCAAGCTAAAGACACAAAGGCATGCTTTCCTATAACAATGATATGACCAGTTTGTCCACCACACAGAAGGGCAACAACTAAAAAACCTTACCCTTTTTGTTTGTGAATGTTCTACGGTATGTGTTGACATACTTGCGAACATCATCCTCCTTTGAGAGATTGAAGAGTTTACGGATCTTAGATGCCCTCTTGGGTCCTCTCATCCTAGGCTTCTCAGTGTCAGTCAATCCAGGGAGGTCATTGTCACCCTTTTTCACAATCACCAAGTTCAAAACAGAGAGATCGGGGCTGACAATGCACCCACGAACAGACTTCCTCCTCCTCTCACCGTTTCTCCTTCCATAACCACGGAAGCAAGGAGTGCCTGTCCAAATACATTTACCAGGTTAGTTAAAATGAAGACAAGCTTCTGGGGAATTTATTCATGAATGGAACAAAATACTGATATAAAGCATGAGTTTAAAACAACCTCTGTGTAGCAAGAGGCGAACACGGCCAGGGGTCAACACTCCCTGCTTCATGGGGAAACCTTGCTTGTCGCAACCTCCCATGATCTTGAAAACATAGCCCTTAAATTCCTGTTGCACAGATAACACTCATTCGAAAAACTTGGAACCAAAGGAAGAAACAGATAAAAGACGCGTAAGAAAGGCAAGATTAATACCTCTCCAAGAGCATCTCCGCTAACCTCCTGGGAGATTCTCTTGTCAAAAAAGGCCCGCCTACACAATAGCAGAAGTAAATAAAATCAAACTATTTGCCCAATGAACTATCTAAACAACTGCTAGATTAAAACATACGAGCCGAAATCTAATTAAACTGTTTCTGGGAAAGAATCAGACATAAAATGCTAACATTCAACCAAAGTTTAAAACAAGAGAGCTTAGCGTTCACAAAAAAAAAAAAAACAGATCTTACAAACAAATCTGAAATACAAAATGAATATTCAAGAATTAATCTAAACACAAAACAACTCAATAATCCAATTAAACATATCCAACAACTATCAGAAATGCAAAGAAAATACTCAAGGCATTGTAGCTACGAAAAAGGGACAACAGGAGCTACAGATAACTAAATCATGGCTAAAATTGCACAAAGTTGAAAAAGTTACAACATTTCACAAAAACCCAAATGAAAAATAAAAAAACGTACAGTTTGTGGTCATCGTCGATTTCGAGCTTCTTCTGGCACCCAGTGGTGGGGTTGGCGATGTTAAACTGCAAAGAAAATGCAGACAGGATTAGAAAACAGCGATAACAGAGAAGGAAGAGATAGATAGGGGGTGAGAGGGAGATGATGGGAGTTGGGCAGAGAGAGAAACCTTCATGTTTGGGTCTCAGGTTGCAGAGGCGGCCGCGACTGAGAGAGAATGAAGATTTGTGAAGCTATATCGTGCCCTCTCGCTCGCTCTAGGGTTTTTGATTGGCGAGTGATGGGGGCTTTTATATTCTGGGGTTGGGAGTTTAATGCGGACGCTGTTCCAAATTTTTGGATTGGGGCCCGAAAGCTGTGGTATATGGGCTTCGGCTAATGCGTCGGCTTTCCGCTCACTTGAATGTCAAAAGCCCAGCAGCCGATATTGTAATAGGTTGATTTTTTTCATAACAATACTAAAGGTTTTTTTTTTCTTTTAATACAACGACATTATTTACACCGTCACTAAATATTATGGGTTAGTGGTATTCATTTTTATTTGTAATTGAGAGGTCTTAGGTTCGATTGAACCAAATTATTGCTAGCCTATTGTGAGGCTAAGCTCACCCTCTCTCCCCTTAGTGTAGATAAATATCGTTTGTTCAAAACGACATTATTTACACTAAGTGATGGCTTACTAGGTTAAACCACATGATAGCCAACCAAACTAATTTGATAATTAACTCGCTCTACACGAGAATTAAACTTAAGACCTCTTACTTAAATTATCTCGAACGGAGAGTCAAATGGCTCATTATAATCTAGTTTTGACTCAATAGTGGGCTAAATAGAATCTTATAAAAATATTTTGAGCCGAATGGCTGGCCTGCCGTCCATATATGGCTCAGTTGGAGGCCCAAGCCAAAACAGTTCATTGGGCCCACCACATGTTGCTAGGTTTGAGTAAGCTGGGATGCTATAATTTAGTGTGCCGCATCCCACCCAACTCAGTTGAATGTTGCTGATATTCAGATATAATGGCAGCTCACGTCAGTTAGTCGTTGCCAGTAGAGTGGAGTATCAAATAGACTGTAATATTAAATGACAAGTTTAAAAAACAAAAATATATTGTAATCGAAATTCTATTCTTACCCTAAATTCTCAGCTTTTACAATGAAAACATGTTTTGCACATTTACAATTTGATCTAATTTTGTTGAACAACTTAACAATAATTCATCTTTTGTTACTCGTGTGGTGTTCGGGTTGACCATGTGACAAAACACCCAAAAACCAAACCACAATCACAAATGTTTATAGTGAAGCGATTGATGCATTCTCTTTTTTTTTTTTTTTTTTTTTTTTTTTTTAAATTGACTTTTAGTAGCCTTTTTACAACCAACAATATCCTCTCCGGATCCTCCTTGTGAGGATTTCTAAGGATCTGTTAATCATGTTCGTTTATCGTACATTATGTAGTCAATTTTTATCAGGTACTGTTTACGTTTAATTTTAAATTAAAAAATTAAAAATGATTTCTGACCGCACGATGTACGATGAACGGACATGATTAACAGATTCTCGGGATCCTCACAAAAAGGATCTAGCGAGGATTCGATGACGCACCTCGACCTAAATCGAGGCATGTTTGCCTTCACGTGAAGATGATGTAGCTATGTGCCCTGTACATAAGTGAAGGTGATAATATAATGTGAGTAAATAAAAACCAAACTAACTAACTTACACTAGACTGGTATATAAGTACGAGTTGAAGTGTTAGAGTGTAGACACACATAATCAGAGCATAGGTACCAAGGTGCAGTCCATTAGTCTAAATACTAATTATACAAGATATGAAAGAAAACCCTACATTAATGGAAGTCTATCAAAACTGTCATAGAGTCCTTGTAAGTCACCAACACGAACTTCTATCAAGAACCTGGAAGGGCGCAAAACATAAAATGTGAGTGGGCAAAAATAAAACTTTTCAAAACTATTTCACTTTCAAAACATCTAACCCCTCACCTTAAAACCCATATAATTTCCCAGAAAATAACAATATATACGTATATAGAAATCAGGCTTGAGAGCAATGAAAACCAAAGTATGACATGTCAAGTATCTCAATAATAACTATGTAAGCCAGGTGATGTAAATCAATATAAAATGATATATCAGCCGGAGTCACCTAATGTGACCTGTACGGCTAAACCTATAACTCATAACCAATTCCTGCACATGAATCTGACCACCTAATGTAGTTTGTATGACAAGTTGGGTGTAAATAAATACGCTCAAGTGCTACGATCACGTGAATGCTGTGTGAGGTATCGCAAGTCACATACGAGTTGAAACCACCTAATGGGGTATGTACAACAGGCTGGCACCTGCCTTGGATCCAAGGTGAGCGTGTGGTGCGGGAGGTGAACAATCATGTGTAGGCTAGTCCCTGGCCTCGAGCGGAGCACAAACACTGGGGTGCAGGATAATGAGCATTAAATGTATCTCAACATATCATACACACTGCAATCACTATCATCAATATGTACTTACTTGAAGCTTACATGTGCGTCCGCAGCACCATGCAATAATATGCATACCTATACTAAGGCATATACTAAAATGTAATGCAATTGACATGGCATTTAAAACATAACTTCATTTAAAACAATTTATGGGAAAATGTAAATCATAAATACGTATATCTATAGAAAACAAGTTCATTTAAAAGCCCACTCACTAGTATGTAACTAGGTTGTACTTGTAACCCCCAAGTCTCGCCTGGCTATGCTCGTCCTTCGAGAACGTCTCACTTATATGTGAAACCACTAATTTAACGTTAATTTAAGCACATAATCAAAACTAAATAATAACTTTTCATACGTTGCTCAATTGGGGAGTTTGAATATATCATCATGGCCTGCTCAACACCATGAGCATCCCCATATTTTTAGAATAATTTTCTGACGTCCCACGCGCCTTCACATGTCGGGCATGTGCATGCACGTTGAACGGAAACTTTAACGCCGTTAGAGAATATTCCGTTAAATATACCTGACGCCGTGAGTATATTCCGTCAAAGTTGACGGAATATTCTCCTTTCTTCTTCGGTGGGTCGCCGGATTCCGGCGCCGATTACCGTTGCGTCTCTGGTTTCTGGAAAAAATTTAAAAATTCGATTTTCTCACTCACTTTTCAACCAAATCCATAAATCTTATATGGATTTGAAGCTCTCAACAAGGAGAACAAAACCTTACCTATTTAAAGCCCTAAAACTGATGAGAAGTTGTCGGAAAATTCTTCGATATTCTGGCTAAGTCTGCAACTCGATAAACCCGAGTGTCCCAACATCCAAAACACTTCAAAATGACTCCAAAGTGCTAGGGAAACTAGAAGAGTACCTTCTTCTTAAGCCTCAAAACCAATTAAATCACCCACGATCACATCGGAGCAACAGAACTCCTCGCCGGAGCTAAAAAGTTCTCACGATTTCGACGTCCTTCCCTCAAACAAAGGGTATGGTTAGGCTCGTGAGCTTGCAACGAACTCGAAGGTGGTCTCCAACAGCTCGATCTGTGCTAGATGAGGATGGTTGGGTGCATGGGTGTACAGACGGTACAAACGAAAGATTTCAAGTAGGATCAGAGAGGAAGAAAGGTTACGTGTAGGTGTGTGTGTGATTCAGCTACAGGATTGCCAAGGGAAAATATCAAAGGCACCCTATTGGACAGCCGTGAGAGGGAAGAGGAAAGGAAAACCCAAATGGCCCAAAATCTACTTCAACCCAATCCTAATTGGGCTCCAAGAAAAAAGGAATGATCCCAATTGGTCTAAATTTTATTTTCTTATTTGATTCAATTGTATTCTAACATTCGTAACTTTTCCGTTACGAGCCCGATTTGGCCCTAACTCGGGTCAATGCTCTCGAGATGTCGAGTACAATTTAATTACGTTAGCGAGAATAATTTAAAATTATCTATGTACATCCACGTCACAAGGCCAACGAGAGCAAACTAGTCATTTCCATGCATTCGAGGATAAAATATATAATTATTCGTGTTGGGTCGTCACATCCGAATTCTTTCTTAAAACTCACTAATTAAAAATAGTAATTGCTCTGAAAATGTAATCTCTTCTTTTTTTTGATCAATAATACTAAATTTCATTTCAAAAACAACGGTGCAAATGAAATAGGAAGATTGAGATTTTCATTTTCACGAAGTTAGACCATCTCCAACCCTTAGCCTAAAACCTAAAATTTTTAGCCCAAAAAATTTAGGTTTTGAACCAAAAACAGTTTTTATGCTCGAACCTTTATGGCCTAAAATTTTAGCCTGTGATTATTAAAGAATGAACTTAGGCTAATTTTTTTCTTAAATTAACCTTTTTACAATAAAAAAAATTACGTAGCCTATCGTAATTTAATTTTATGAACATTTTTATCTAAAAAGATTTAAATTCCGATAAATATTGAAAAATAAATTTTTTTTGGGTGAATTTTGAGTTAAATAATTTTTTAAAATAATTTTTGTAACATCCCACATCGCCCAGGGGAGTGGATCATCTAAGCCTTATATGTATATTCCTATCTCTACCTAGCACAAGACCTTTTGTGAGTTCATTGGCTTCGAGTTCCATCAGAACTCCGAAGCTAAGCAAGTTCGCACGAGAGCAATCTCATGATGGGTGACCCACTAAGAAGTTCTCGTGTGAGTTCCCAAAAACAAAACTGTGAGGGCGTGGTCGGGGCCCAAAGCGGACAATATAGTGCTACGATGGAGTTGAGCCCGGGATATGGTAGGGACCTGGGCTGGGATGTGACAATTTTAGCTGTTGATTTTAAATTTATATCGTTAGATTTTGTTTTTATCGTTAGATTTGATTATATTTGATCTAGGCCGTTGGATTCAATAATTATATAAATATAAAACAAAACAAATTTTGAACTTGGACCGTTGGATTAACCAACGGCCCTTTTAAAATCAGTCGGTGGATCGAAAACAGTAGCCCAAAGGCTACCGACATGATGTGACAGCCAGGGGACACGCCCACGTGGGTGAGGTCCCGTTGGGCTGGCGTTTGGCGCGTCTAGCGCGTTGAGGCTAGTCGGGTTGGCGTCTAGGCTTCACAGCCTGTGGTGGACTCACATCGGCTGGGGTCCACTCCACTTTGTGGTCTAAACTTGGGCCGATATTTGGCCTTGGGATGGGTTGGGTTGGGTTTTTTTTGGAGTGTGCTATCCACACACCCCTTTTTACTTCTCACACACCCCTTATTAATTTTTGTCCTTTGATCTTCTTCAATTCATCCGATCCGACAACCGAAAATTAAAAGGGT